ATACAATGTCCTCTCATTGCTCCTCTGTGGAGAACAACCTGTTGACAGCATCAGAGTGGGTAGGGATCTATCCTGTAGTATTAAGTATTTATACTTAATGAATGTAGCATTTATTTCTAATTCATAATAAAGACATATTTCTAGAAAATAACCTGGGGTTTTTTTCATGTTTTGCCTCAGTGAATAAGGTTTTAAAGTTTTACTCATTTCTCACTGCATAAACATTATGGTAATGTATAACTGATTTCCTACAAGACCTCTGCTCTGTGTGTATTTTTTTTTTTTTTTTTGAGTGAGATTCTTTAGCCTGTTGAAACAAAAGTGTTTAAGAGCTATTAGTGTATTAAATCCCATTTTATTACATTGCTTTCAGAAATTATTCAGCATGACTTGGATGGGTGTGCAAACAGATCACTGCTAATGTTGTAAATATTTGTCTTTCAAGATATGACAATATTAAACATGTAGTACTCAGTCTTGGTTTTTAGAAAAAATTTCTGTGTATATTGATCCATGAATACAATTTTGTAGCATTGATAAAATGCCAAGTGCTATTCTGTAATAAGATGGCTGCACAGTTGAATTTTTTTTCAAGGTAATATTTGAAGCGTTTGTGAACATTCCAACAGTAAACTGAAATCTCCTGATAGATTTCTTCTGTCCCTGCAGGGATGAAGCACATTTTTCTCATTTTTTCACTGGCGTGAGAGAAGAGAGAGTCTTCCAGTTCTGCCAGATGTGGAGAAGGGTCTAGAGTGTACAGTTGTGGTGTTGTATGGGACACAGAATGAAGAGTTGCTTCTTTCTGTGCAAGATTATGCCAAAGAAGGAATTAAACTCTGATATTTAAAGGCTTAATTTTGTTCGGACAGAATTGCCCTACTTCTGGTTATGTTTGTAATGTTTTCTGTGGACTATTTGTACCCTAGACTGAAAGAGAAAGTAGGAAAGCAGTTTGAGAGGCTCTTCGGGTGCATTTGAAGTAGCATCAGGTGGCTTTCAAGGGACTATACATAATTCACTGAATTAAATTCTCCTTGGGATTTTTTTTCTGAACATCTTCCTGTCTAAAATGTGCAGATTTTCTGTATAAGATTCTGTTAACAACACCACAAAAAGTTGTGATGATGGAGAAACATAACACAATTCATAACTGCTTTTGGCCTTCCATTTTAAAAACCATTGTAATGGGTTTAAAACTTTGAAATCAGGCCACAGGGTGTTAGGGACAACAACCTGTATTTATTTTGCTGTTACTTTTCTTCTTTAGCAATGTTATATACATATATGCTAGGATCTGTCCTTCCTTATTTCCTTTTAGTCCATTAAATTACTTCAGTTTATGAAGGTCTTGCTGCCTTTGTTTCCTAATTACGTCAAAGCAAGAAATAAAATATTAGGGAAGAACACAATGCTCATGCAGCTGAAGCTTGGGATTTCAGTGCATGAGGCAGACTTTCTATGGAAGAACAATACTATTTTGAGCATTGGAATGTGTATGTTAAGAAATGTCTGCTAATTTTGCTTTTTGTCTTGATCTCGTTTTAACAATCTGGTGTATTCTTTTTCCATGTCTCTAGGTAATAGGGCAGTGAGTCTGTGCTTGCATTTAAAATGTCTGACATGTTGGGGGCATTTCCACACTCTAAATAATTATGGAGTCACATTAGCTGAGAGTTTGCATGGTGAACACCATAGATTAAGGAAAGGATGATGCATTCCGTGTGAAGTAGACATTCTCAGCTGCCCTTGGGAGTCTTCATTAAACTACCAGAGATGGTGTGCCTTCCTAATATTATGCACTCCTTTTTAGAACTGTTGGAGGCATTATCCAACAAAAGGAACATAATGTATTAGTAGTTAATTAAAATTCAAATTGTCCTTAATTCATACCCTATGTGTCATACCCCTCACAGTTATATTCTGTTACTAATGTTGCATAACTGTTGGTTGAAATGAATGCTTTCTTTTAAGCTCTGTAGTAATCCCTTTCTGAGATAATTTGTTTTCAAATAAAGGACAAAAATTATTCCTCTTTTAAATGTTTTTAGTAAGGTTAAAACACGATGTTTATATAGAAGACTAATGCTCTAATCACAGGTGTCAACTTTTCCATGTTATTTCTCTTATGTTCTGTAGCAATATGTTTGTGAGAGGGAAGGAGTGTATGTGATTTTTTTGAAAGTTAAAACCAGGCTTTTTTATTTGTATGTATTCACAAAAGTTTGTACAAAGATAGTTGAATATAGGTGAAAGAAGTAGTAAAAATCAATTAGTGTATTTAAAAAAAATCAGATACCATGCTATTTTTTCTTTTATCCTGCCTGCGTCAACGAATCGTGGCAGAATAACTTCACAAAAACCACTTTATTAAGAGTAGCATTCAAAAATGCCAAGGCAATTGCATTATGAAACACCTTTGTGTTTCATGTGGCAGCGTTTTACATAATGGTAAACCATCAGTCTAGGGTCAGTCACTCCAGAAAGTGCTGATCTCTGGGGATGAGAATAGGCAAGTATCATTATGGAAAGGAGGATCTTCACCTTCTGCAGGACAGAGCAGTGGGAATGCCAGTTGGAATGGCTGGCAGAGGGGAGGGGTGTCCCAAAAAATTAGTGTGAATCTTCCTTTTAGTGGTGAAAGGTTCCCCTTGAAAGATGGAACTTACATAGGTTGATATACTTCAGACAGCATAAGGGTTTATACATGTGGTAATCCCTGATTGCTTGGCTGGCTTTTATTATACCAGCTTTGGCTGGCTTTTATTATTTGAGATCAGTAACATAAAATATTCTGTAAAACCGTAAAAAAAAAAAAAAAAAGGCAAGGCCAGAGATGAGAGATTTCATATTACAATAGTAGATCCTGTGGCTACCCCAGCAAGATATTCCTGGTGAATGACATGTTGTTACTGTTTTTCACAGAGAACTGCTGGCAGGCGTCTCAACTTTTTAACAAATATTCTGCCAAAAAGTAGAGGAACAATTGGTGGGTTTGTATTATTACTGTAGCTGAAGGTCTGCAATCAGATACTTATTTTCTTACCTGAGGAGCAGTGCAGCAGAGGGAATAAAACATCAGGAATTTTCTTTTAAAGTCACAAAGTAGTCTGAACAAGTGACAAACTAGAGGGAAAGTTATGTGACTTGTGATTGAATTTTTCATCTAAAATTTGTGGCATTTTTGTGAAAAGCTATTTTATTTTAAGTGATACCACAGAAATTACTGTATCAGTTGGCTAGCTTTGTTAGTTTTTTTTTTAATATTTTCTGATTTAATTTAAATATAGGGATGGTTTCCAAAATGGGGATGGCTGCTTTCCCTGAATATTTTGATGTTCACTTCAGCATAGTGGGTAACCAGATTTGACCATAATTTTATAAAAAGCTTTTCCTAGATATTTCTTCAGTTGTAGCTGGATGTACTGGTCTTTGCTGGGATCTCAGTTCATATTGATCTTTTGTCACCACCTCAGAGCTGAAATGTCTATGTGCTATGAGAGCTGCTCTCGCTTAAAAGAGCTCTGGCTAACCAAGTTATGCAGCAAATATAGGTGTTAGAAACGACAGCCAAAATGAGCTCAAGGTGTCACTGACTGGGGTGGGATTAGATGCTGATGCCATGATGCTGTGTTGGTCTGCTCTTCCTTCAGTACTGTTTTTGTACAGTTAGAGTAGAGGACATGCATTATGTACTTCTCAAGCCCTTAGAAAAGGTGATACATTAGCTAATACTTAACGTATTTTAATACCCTGCTGTTAAGGTGATAGTCACAAATACATAGCATGTTTTAATAACATTTAGATCAGGTTACATTACAGTGAATCCACTCAATAATTCTGGCTCTAATAAAAGCTTTTTTTTTGGAATGAAGCACCACTGCGTATAGGTCTTTTTTTGCTTCAGTGTTTTCCTCGTGCTTGAGGTCTGCATATATTTTGTTAAATTTGATTCTTAAAGGATTTAGTACCATGAAACGTTATATAAGTTTGTGTGCTTTTTGAATGTGCAGGAGGAACAGATTAGTGCAGAGAACACTTAAATTTGCATGGTTATTTTTTAGAACAGAATTGTATTTTCAGAGTTGTTAGGAGTATTTTATGTACAATGAATGGATTTTTTAGGAGATACTGAAAATATCCCTTCTTTAAAGACAGCATTGCAGACTGTAAAATGTTGGCTGCGTGTGATGTTACTTGGAATGTATGTCATATTTTGCATAAATGTTCTATATATGCTGTTAGGAAAATGAAGCTTAGTCTTCCTTGCTGACTTTGGAATATGAATATAATTCTCTTTAAATTTGATTAACCTGTATAGTACTTCCAACACATATACAATGAGAAGAAAAAACCATGTCTTCCTGTAATATAAATAGTTTAAATTATGAAGTATACATAACTTCCCAGTATGATAGGTAGCATGCCTGTAGTCTTGACTTTTTACAAACATGAACTGTGTCCAGAATTCTTTATCTCTTTTAGCTGTTACTTGGTTTTGTTCATTATGTATATTTTTTTATAGCATTTTCTTAACATATATTTTCATAACGTTTCTTACCTTGTGTATCTCTCTCCATTCTCCCTCTGTTTCCATTACAATACTAAGGTTTCTCCCTTGCCCTCTGAAGAAATGCAAGCATAATTTAGGAGCTTGCGTTAGTGTATCTGGACAGGCAACTCTTCACAAAACAGGAGTAGTGGAAATAAATAATCTATTATTATCTCTCTGTATTAGCAGCATGGATGTCTCATTTCTAGAACCGGTTATTGAACTGAGGTTCTAGTTTGATACTGGTAGGATGAAATATGTAGATGTATACATAAAAGGATGCTTTTAGGTAAAAATACAAATCTCTGCATCTTTTAATCCATTGTCATACTTTGCATACAATTAATATATCATGAATTTTATTATTAATACTCATAAACAAACCTCAAGCTATAGTTCGAATTGAAGGCTTGGCCTTCACAAATATATGCCTTATTTTTGTTTCTAGGTGTAAAACAAAGGTGTACGTGGACAACCTTCCCACCACGAGCGTTGTGATTGTCTTTCACAACGAGGCCTGGAGCACGCTCCTGCGCACTGTCCACAGCGTGATAAACCGCTCCCCGCGGCACATGCTGGAGGAGATCGTCCTCGTCGATGATGCCAGTGAGAGAGGTAAGGATCCTGTCGGTGCCTGCGCTTGCTGTTCTTCTCACTTCAGAGGCTGAAACTGACTTTCTACAGGCTTAGCTGTTCTCAGCAAAACAGAATAGCTGGGGCAGGGGAGGGCAGAGTGAACAATGCCCATTTTGAAATACAGGTGGGTCGTTCTCTGTGGAAAGCTGGTGTCGGTTTATCTGTTTGTGGACTTTTCTCTTGACAGTGTAGAATTTCCATTTTGCTAGTGTTTTTTTTTTCTATTCCAGCTTTGATGTTTTGCATTTAGAATTTTAACACATTCCTAAAGCTTGAGAGCATTTAATACTTGAATCGTCTGGTAAATAATAGGAAGGGCAGTGATGCAAAATCCATATTCTGCTGCTTATGGTAATTCCAACTTCAGAGTAAGATGGCTGATGGTTATCCAAACAATAAGATCTGTCCAAACAAGGTCTATGTATGAAGAGAGACACTGGATTCAGATCACATGGTGTAAGTAGCATGGATCGCAACATTTAATGGGAGATTTTATGAGAGTTATTAAGCATTCCAGTGGTTAACAGAGTTTTTGGAGCTGAATACCTTTAGGAGTGGATTTTTACGCTTTATGGTTGGCATGGTAAAATGTATAGTGAGTTTATTCTTCAGGTTGTATGTGTCTACAATGCTGTAGCATATTAACTGACCTATTCCAAACTGTGTAGGTCTAGAGTACAGCTGGTTGTGAAGTAGCTGAGTAAAGAAAGATCATATCGGCTAACTGAGCTCTGACCAACCTGTTTTCCTAAGGAAGCACAGCTCATGCACTCAGGTTGTGTCTGCACTGGCACCGATCGGTGTTGCTTTCTTCTCTCAGGCACCCTCGCTTCCGCTTTCTTGCGTGATAGTAATTTTAACTACCTCAGCCAATTTCAGTGCAATTTGGAAGAAAGGACAAAGGTCTTAAATACAATTGTGCCCTGGCAGCAGAGGAGGAATGCCCATACAAAGGGCAAGGTTGCCACAAACATGTTCCAGATTAGACAAGACGTGATTAAGTTTTGCTTTTAGAAGGTACAAGATCAACTTTTCACCATTTTCACTTGTGGGCAGTTTGTAGTTACACCTTTCAATGTCTTGCAGTTTTTCAACCTTCAGAGAAAAATTTCACATTTCTTTGGTTCTAATGCATGTGAAACTGCTCACCTCTCTTGGGAGTTGTTCCCAGGGAGCAATCCTCTTTTTAACATGGATGCTGATATTTGGATTCTGAGTGCCTATGCTAGGTTATTGTGCAGGTATAAACTTCCTTAATGGAACAGACAGTACATATGTTTTGGTTGGTTAGCTTTTGTGCACACAGTCTTGCTAGGAAAACAAAGTTTATTGCAAGTGTGCTCTGTTTTATTTGTCAAAACAGTCCTTAACATTAATTCAAATCAGTACTAACGGTTAATTGTGGCAGGTCAGCTTTCAATAGGACCTAGAAATAAAGAGCAAGCTAATGTTTAAATAATGTAGACATAATATTTCTTATGTTTTGCCTCTTCAATTTCTGTTTTAGAAAAAATCGGTTTTAACACAGTAATAGCCGTGTCCTCATTATGAAGAATTATTGTCTGATTTTAAAAGTATGTGACTTCAGATAACTTTTCTGTTTCTGGGTTTGAGTTAGGTAATAAAAGAAAGGGAGATGAAAGATCCAGCATTTCAGACTTCTTTGGGAGTGTTACTGAACCTGTTGTAATATTTAGTTTTGAAATCTGTGATCTTCATTTGAGATCACTTAGATACCTTTTATTTGTAGATATTTTCAGCAATTACTGCAAGGTGGTTTTTTGTTTGTTTTCCAAAAGCTTGTTATGGTTCCAGCAAGTATCCTTATACTTTAAACAAAGCGGAACAGTATGATGCCTGAAAATGTGAAGCATTTAGCATATGCTACTTAAGCATTCTGTTTGTGTTGAACTAAAACAGCAGATTTTTCCAGAAAAAGAAAATGTTCAGCCCAAGTAGTGTGTTTTGAATTCTAGCATAAGAGTCAATTTAATTGGAATGAAGTAAGCATTCAGCCTGCCCAAAGCACACTTTGTACCTGCTAGTGTCATGCTCTTAGAAGAATGAATTTGCATATCATACACTTACTTACACCAAAAAGAAAAGCTTTGGAGAAACAAGACACGTCTGTAACATTGTTCTCTGGTTACTGATCAGAATTGCATGTTTAGTTATTGAGCATTGATATTTGGTAACTCTTAGGAAAAAAAAAAAATTAACAGGAGAAATTAGGATTAGTCAGTACTTAAAACTAGGTCAACACTGAATGGCCAAGCCTGGTAGGCTGATTGCATCAGGATAGAATGCACTCACAGAAATTAGCTATACAGATACAGATCAAGGCAATGTAGCCAAAGCTAAATTCCTGCCGATTACACCTTAAAAAATTATTCACATTTCTTAAAACTGTTTGCATGCTTATGCATGATAAGTCTGTTTTATTGTCATTTAATGAAATGTTTGCAACTTCATTTTTCATATTCATAAAATGTGACTCAGTAATAGAATTGGCAAGGTATTTTTTAACTTATGCACTTTTCTTGAACTTAAATGTGTTTGCTTTTTTGGCTTTCTTAGTTCTGCTAGTGCCACAGAAGACGCTCTTTAAATTGTCCATAGTCCTAGGTAAATTTATATACCCTTTTGATACAGAAAAAGTTTGAAAAGCATATGCATCAGAAGGAGTTAAATAAAACTAAATTATACCTCTGAAAATGCATGTATTATTGTTATTCCCAAGTAGAAGTGCTTGGGGGTGTGGGGCGGGGGGGTGTTGTTTCTTTTAATATTATCAAATCTCACTCTCTGGAATGTATGAGGCAATGCTAAAAAATTACTCTACTGTCATCCTGGGTCACTCGTAAACAATTTTTATAATGCAAAAAACTTCTCATTTGAATGTTTAGTGTAGGATTCAGTATAAATATGAGCAATAGGTTAGTACAGAAAATCATCTCTACAGCTTGTTCTGGCATCTCCCGTAAGCCAAAATGTATTCCATGCACTAAAAGACTCTTCAAATACTCTTTTATATAGAAAAATGAAAATCTCACCATAAAAGCAGCTTTTACCATTTTCTGGATAGATGAATAGTCCAAAACTCTGGAATCTTGCTACTTGAACTAAAGGGAGCAGTTTGTGAGAGATGTGTATTCCTCTAAGAGAGAGTGCTGGAGGGGAAATACTCTGCTTAGATTTGTATTTAACCCTGACTGCTGGTAGCAGAGGAACACCAGAAGTCTCGATGCCACAGTTATTTTCTGTAGGGATGAGGCATCAAACTTTTACCTTCTTGTTGGTTTTGCTGAAATTCTAGTAGTATTTTAAGGGCAAAGTTATTGAACGTCTGTTTGGCCCAGTGTTTTGTTTCTGGGAGTAATACTTTCTGGACTTTTGAACAAGGTGGTAGTTCATAAAATGATGTTTATGGACATGGTTAAACACAGGAGAACAATTGTTATTAACCCTATTCCCTCCACAGTGAAAATACTGCTCACATCTGCGATTGTTTTGTAGAGGGGGAAAAACTGAAAAGTATTTGAAAAGATAAGTTGAAGTACTTTACAGAGAAAGTGTAGGTAGGACTTCATATTTTTATATTAAATAACCCATTACTTTCTTTAATGTAACTTTTTGTTTCATGCTAGTTCTTGACTGGCTGCAGTTTTATTATTGAAATCTTTCTCTCTTCCTCCTGGTAGAGCTTTACCTTACTATTACGTGCAAACTGTACATGCAAAGACCAGTGTCACAGCCTATATTCATTTGGCTTTAAGTAGTTAGAGCTACTTCAAAAGGTTATCGGTACAGCACCTGCAGTGAACATGCCAATCTGTGTGACTTGCTCATGAGCTGGTTAGCATAGAGAGAAATGCTTTACTCTTTCATTGTCTTTGTTTATGTCATGGGAGCCATATACATTAAAACTATAAATGCTACCGTGATACTAGTGCTTTTAAATTAGTGGCTTTGGAAGGCTACACTGTAAAGAGGTTGGAGTATATTTATTACACACTCAGTCAGCCCAAATGACCTCTGTTTGTGCTCAACTCCAAAAGGCCTCCAAAATGTTCAAACATGTGCACTTCATTTGTACTAATAAATATTTATTCGAGTCTCTGTTAATATGCAAAATAAGGATTAACTTGCTTTGAGTTTCGCCAGAGTCAAATATTTAAGATTTATCAACCGCTTAGGCTCTTTTAGCACACTTCTGCATTCAGGATGTGTCAGAACTTATTTCTGTGGGTTTTAGTGACAGTCCAACAATGGATGGAAAAAAATGAGGAGGCAATTAGGATTCATTCATGTGGAGCAGTGGTAAGGAATGGTAATCACCCTTAGGTCAGATCCAACCACATGAGATTTACAAAACAGCCACTGAGAGTTCATGCCTGCTTTTTTTCTCCCTTCAGTGTCATGCTTATTTTTGTTTGAGGTACTTACTATCTTGTGCTAAATGCTACTACAGGCTTCACACTGTTGTAGTACAACTCCCATGTGCTTTGAGTGAATAATACATTGTGTGGCTGTGTTATAAGGCTGTGTTTGCCTTCTTTACAGATTTGAAGTCTGCAAGTTATTGCAGAAGTAAGTTTCTGTGCCTGTCATTTGCATTCTCCCTCAATTCTTTGTTCTTCCTTTGGCACCATGCATCATAGTCTAATTTTTCACGATGGACAAAAACTGTGCCTGGCAATGGAAAATTTGTTAATTTGGCAGTTCTTTGTAATGCAAACAATTTTGAGTCTCTAGGCATCTGGTAGTCAGTTATGGCTGTTCTATTTTGAATAATTTTTTCCTCAGCTAAGCACAAGTTTATTAGTGTTGCAGATACCCATTTATGCATAGCTCATTTTTTTTCTAAATTTTTCTTTTTAGGTGTTATAGTGATAATTTAATAAAAAAATGTTAAACAGAAAGTTATTGAGAAAGCACAATCGAAAAAAGTATTAGATCATGTTTTAAACTGCTTGCAGAGAACTTACCTGTAAGTTACATTCCTGTAGGAGATAATTTATGCTTAGCTAGTTGGATCATTTACTGTATTCTCTTGGCAGGGAAGTGTTATGTCCAAGAGCACTAAAGCATATGTTTTTGAAAGTAAGAGTCACATGTACTCCATAATAAAAAAAATTGCCTATTCCATTTGGTTTCTGTGTCAACATTCTGCACTTTCTTAATTTTTGTTTTTTTCATAAAGAAGAAATGAAGAGGAGAAAGAACTAACTGCTTTAGCAAGTGAAGCACATGGAAACATGGAAGGGCATATTGTGAAATGTAGAATAAGCAGGAGAGGAAACTAGCTGAGAAAGCAGGAAAAGGATCAGGAAGAAATGTCTCTTAATTGAATTCTTCATCCAAAAAAAAGGAAAGCTGAAGTATGTAACTGACACTTTCCATGGTTTTGATCATTCTTTGCAGATTTCTTGAAAAGACCACTGGAAAATTATGTGAAAAAATTAAAAGTACCAGTTCATGTGATTCGAATGGAACAGCGTTCTGGATTGATTAGAGCCAGATTAAAGGGGGCTGCTGCTTCAAAAGGCCAGGTCATCACCTTCTTAGATGCTCATTGTGAATGTACAGTAGGCTGGCTTGAACCTCTGCTGGCAAGGATCAAAGCTGACAGGTAATTACCCATCTATTGTTTTTTTCAGTTATTAACAAGTGTTCCAAGTATTACAATATAGCATACACACAGTTATCTACAGCTGGATAAATTCTCATTGGTGTAGGGATAAAAGGCTAATTCACTACACCTTTTAAAAAGTGAAGCTTAGTTTAAAGTGAAGCTTATTTTGGGATGCATGGGATAATGTGTTGAATAGCAGGCGATCTGAGCATGAATGAAATTGAGAAAGCAGTGCAATTTGGGGTTTTCTGTCTCCACCCTAGCCAATTCCTGCATGAATTTGGGAAGATATTCCTGAGAAGGAAATGGAGCCCTGATAGCATGTAACACCAACACCGTGAGCAAGAACTGTTACATTTACAGTTTTCAGGTTCTCATTGTGACTTCTTTATTTCATAATGTATTTGTATTGTGGAAATCTGTGCTGTGACTTGGTCTTCTGGGATGTCTAAAGTTAGAATAGTTGCTGGAATCCTACTGTTTTACACTGCAGTAACATGACTTTATATTTCTATCATAAGTCAATATCCACAACACTTATATCCATGATAGTGTAACGGAAATTGTATTGAGGAGTGGTGAGAGGGAACAAACAAGTGAGAATGGTTTGCTTTACAAAACATCTGAGCAGTAACTCTGTAGCTGCACACTAGTCTGTTAGTAAGCATTATAATAAATAGACTAAATATTAAGTTTGGTGTTACACATCTCTATTTTCTTCTCACGGTTATAGATAAAAAACACTTTTACCACTTAATGCTACAAAATATAGTATTACATGATGAAAAAGCTACATGTGATAAAGAATCTTTGTTCAGCACTGTGCTAAAACAAAATATTAACCTTTAAGTTATCGTTAATACACTTTGTGAGATGATGATAAATGGTTAAAATTTGTGTAAATGATTCAACTAAGTAAGTCCTTTAAATTTAATTGAAATCCAGAATCTTTTTACAGAGCTTTCCGTGAGAGGAAGCCTGCTTATAGATAGTTACTTAAGTGTCTTTAAGATCATTAGAATAGGTTTATGTGAGTGTATGTCTTAATAATGTCAAGACAGTGGTCAAGGAGACCTCCTTCTGCTGACTTTGATGCTGTAGTTATGCTTTGTTTACAATTACTATAATTTCTTAGTCCTGAGGGCAATAAGAATACTTCTCCAGGGCTAATGACCAAGTTTACATTTAAAGAAATACAACTTACTTTGACTGCTTAGCTAGGAACAAAAATATCTTGTTTTCTATACAATCAGTCTGTAGCAATGAGAAAGCTGTGGTCAGTTTTCTTCCATCTGCAGAGGGATGAATATTTATTACTGGTAATACTGCAAATACTATTTAAAGAAGGAGCTGGTATTGCCAAAATTACATCAGAAAACAACATTTTCCTTTAGATGAATTAACTCTAATCAGCAAGACAGTATTTGAATATGTTTCATTATAATAATCAATATATTTAGTACTGTTGTTAAGACATGGCATTATGAAATTTAAAATGTATGTGTTAAAATTTAAGAAAAATAATCCAGCCCACCCTTTTTGACACTTTTAATTAAAAGGTTTTGGTTCTTCCCTTTTCATAGGAGAACAGTAGTGTGTCCTATCATTGACGTAATTAGCGACGACACCTTTGAATATATGGCAGGTTCTGACATGACCTATGGTGGATTCAACTGGAAACTGAATTTTCGTTGGTATCCTGTTCCTCAGAGAGAGATGGATCGACGGAAAGGAGATCGAACCCTTCCTGTTAGGTAATGAGAAATTATTAAATTGGTTAAAATGTTCACCTGAGCTTTACTCGTATCCTTTCTAGGTTAGTCTTGTAAGTACTTAAATTATGCTGTAGCATCATTTTATTCTGCTTGAAGAAACAGCAGAAAAGTTATTTTACATGGATTGGTTGTTGGTAACTTTTGGTAGCAATGAAGGAAGCATAAGCTTGCCATTTTTTTAAGTTTCATGTCAATTACCATTGGTTTACTAGTTTTTAACTAGTTTTTATACTGATGCATATGTTTTTATTGAAGCTCATTTTAATCTTTTTATATTGAACCTTATTTTTACTTTTTTATTCTGACAAAATAAATTGCATTTTGAAAAGATTCATTAGTTTTTGGCATGTGCATATGTATTTGTGTGTGCATACATTTATAAACTTAATGACTTTGAATTGCATGTATCAGAGGTGAATTTATGCCTGCCTGTCATTTAGGTATTATCACAAAGGTAATGAGAGGGAAGTTGTGTTTTAATGTGTAGTTTTTAACAATTGCAGACTTACATTGTCTGGCTTCACTTCTCTGAAAAGTGGGCAATTGCCTTTTCTGGAATATGGCCTTTATTGGTTTTTGTTTGGTTTTCATTTAAGAAATCCAGAGGTCTTCTCAGGACATGGCTAATTGTATTCCACATCCTCCTGCCCCCGTTTCCTTTTTAGGGGAAATAAACTCACAACTTTGTTACATTGTGGCCTAGCTTATTTTGTGTGTCTTTCTGGAAAATGACTAGTGATAGAAAATTATTTATGCTAAAAGTGTAAATAATTTGTATACTCAAACTACAGAGTTATATCATCAGTCTAACTTACGTATTGTTGACTAAGAAAATGGAAATTTGAGAGATCTTGCTACAGTTGGGAGAAACCAGCAATTTTATTTTTTTTACCAACAAGTAATTTGTAAAGAAAATCTGGATGTGACCCTAACTGTACAATTTTCTTGTCTGAAGCAATAATAATGAAAGTAAGCAGGCCACTTGATGGTCTCCCATAACTTTTCCAAGAACAGTTGCCAGAAATATAAGTTTCCTGTAAGGAGCTGGTTTCTTTTTTTATGAGTTACCAGCATTGGAGGCAGATGTTTCTCAGGAATGGCAGCAGGGGCTGTTTCTCTATCTGGACTCCAGCTTGAAGTGAGAGTATAAGGAGAACTGTCATTAACTGATTCCATCTCTGGAAAATTTTGAGTTAGCAAACACATCAGCAGTAACTGAATTTGATTGGATGCCTACTGAGAGGGAAGATGTCAGGAACTTGAGAAATAAAGCCACTTTGTTAGCGTGTGAAATGCATTTAAGTGTATGTTTTTATAGTGACTGATGTTTATTTTTTGTCTCCCTTATCCCCAGGACACCTACAATGGCAGGAGGTCTTTTTTCAATAGACAGAGATTACTTCCAGGAAATTGGAACATACGATGCTGGAATGGATATTTGGGGCGGAGAAAACTTAGAAATTTCTTTCAGGGTAGGTAAAACACTTTTCAGTATTTTGTTAACTGGGACAGTGCACCTTGAGTTCTGTAAAATATGGATCTGCGCCTGCATCAGTGTCCTCTACTGCTGAAGTTATACTTTGGAGAAACTTGACAGGAAGCAATGAGGAAAGACTGTATCTGTCAGTGAAAAATGCATGGTGACTAGCTGGCAGAGCTTTGTGATTAAAAGATTGGGGTGGTCATTCTGAAGAGTGTGTGTGTGTGTGTGTGTTAAAAGGACTTTGGTGAGGAAAGCTAATTGGAGAGCATAAGTTAAGGGTGATGCCGTCAGTGCATGCTTTAATGTGCTGGTAAAATGTGAGCATCCCTGTTACAAACTCTCTTCTTGCTCTTTTTCTAACTTAATGATTGCATCCATTCATTTGGAGTTGGGTCTAACCATTCTTGTTCTCACTTCTGTTCCTACCAGATAACACTGTTTTCTTTTAACTATCAGCTCAGAGTGTATAGGTGGATATACTCTGAAGTAGTTCAGCTTTCTGAATCTACCATTTATAGAGGTCTAAAATGAAATTAAAAATACTTTCAGAAACTTGGGAAATGTATGAGCTTTTTTTTTATATGGAAATTCTACTTTGTAATGGACTTTTTTATAACTATCACCACCTGCTAGTTCTCTGTGATTCATGTGAGCCATTTCCTTCCTTTGCTGTGAGCTTGCACAGTTCTCTAAAGTAGTCTGCTGCTGCTGCATTATTGCTGTGAAGCCTGACGTACTCTTTCTTATGCTACCTTACTCAAGCTTGTGAGCATCTTTATCTGTTGAGCCAAAAACAGGCATAATTTTCTCTTCCATGCAGGATATATTTGTTCTAGACATCAACTAACATTGTTTCTCCAGCTTAAACAGAAGCAAGTGATTAACAATTTAAAACTTTTTTTTTAACAACTTGAAGCTCTACGATAATTGGTCTATTGTTCACTTTCAGATCTGGCAGTGTGGTGGCACTTTGGAAATTGTAACGTGTTCACATGTTGGGCATGTGTTCAGAAAAGCAACACCATACACTTTTCCAGGAGGTACAGGGCAGATAATCAACAAAAATAACAGACGGCTTGCAGAAGTCTGGATGGATGAATTCAAAAACTTTTTTTACATCATTTCCCCAGGTGAGCAGGTCTTTGGTTATGAGAAGTACCTATTAAGAATTAAAGTTACTACTAGTGGGAAAAAACATGAGTATTTAAGTAAAATGTTATCGTTTTCAAGTTCATAAGACAAAGCGCATATTAGACATACATAGAGGAAAGTCTTAACAGAAAAATAATCTTGTTAGCCAGAGATGTGCCCACAAGTATAAAACTAGCCATCAAGGTACACCTCGTAATTACAGAATCATAGAATGGTTTGGGTTGGAAGGGACCTTAAATGTTCCAACCTGCTGCCATGGACAGGGACACCTTCCAGTAGACCAGGCTGCATAAAGCACCATCCGACCTGGCCTTGAACACCTCCAGGGATGGGGCATCCACAAGTTTTCTGGGCAATTTGTTCCAGTGCCTCACCACCCTCACAGTGAAGAACTTCCTTATATCTAACCTAATTCTACCCTCTTTGTTAAAGCCATTACCCCTTGTCCTGCCACTGCACAGCCTTGTAAAACACCCATCCCCATCTTTCCTGTAGGCTCCCTTTAAGTGCTGGAAGGCTTCTATAAGGTCTCTCTGGAGCCTTCTCTTCTCCAGGCTGAACAACCCCAACTCTCAGCCTGTCCTCATAGAGGTAGTGCTTCAGCCTCCCTGATCATCTTCGTGGTCCTCATCTGGACTCACTTAAGCAAGTCCATGCCTTTCTTGTGTTGAGGGCCTCACAGTTGAGCACAGCTGGAATGTGAATATGCTGGAGTTTGGCCGCTGGCTTCTGTGTTATAGGCATTCCAAGTTGAATAGATCAGAAGTGATTTAAGTGAAAACCTGTAGCAGGAGTAGCAAAAGCTAACATCTTCTGGCTTGGTGGAGCTTTCACTTTGCTATCCAGAGTATGGGGGCAAGTTGCCAATATACTTGACTGTGGTGATATTTATGATGTTTCTTAAAATGGATGTTAACAAAACAAGAGGATGTAAAATATGGGAGCAGATTTCCTATCAACTCTAACTTTCTGAAAAAAAAAAAAAAAATTCAGGGAAAGAAAGGAAACCTGGTAAATACTAAATTACTGCTTTCCACTACAGGGTATTTTTGTTGTTGTTATTTAAAAGACAAATGGAGAGACAAACTTTCAGTAGTAACAGACATCCCTTATAAAGGTTTTAGATGTTCAAGACTAAATAACTAAATGCCATGTGGTAGTTCTGTATGCCATGTCTACTTATCCAAAGATGTATCTTTGTAGCTAGTATCTCTTCATTACTTGATTATTAAGCCTGCATTAGTATTGAAATTTAAGTGTAATACAATGTAGTGTGGCTCTGAACACTGTCAAATTTAGATCACAGGTTTTAAGAATACTTGTGAGAACAAGTGACTGTGCAGATTTACGGTGGCTTTTTGTCTTAAGAGAAGGCATTACTCAGATAAGACTGTGTAAGATTTTTTTAATAAAAAAATAATTCTTGCTACTACTGTAAGCTTTGTAGGTGAAACCTACCAGCTAGCAGCTTATGGTTACTGCATTGAGTTGTTATTAATGAAGCATTATGAATTCAGATGTAACATGTATAGATACTCCCATACATATACTCAGAAAAATTGTATATAAATAGGTGCAATCAATTTTGGTTAAGATTGCTTTTATGCATCTGTGTCAAACTTCATTTTAAAGTGTACTAAGCTGGAACACCTATCTATAAAAATAACTTAATTCTTAGAAACACATGTAAGTTACTGAAAACCATGATAAGGCCCTGATACCTTATATATAATCCCTATAGTCCTTTGATTTCACGTTGTAGGTATAAGCTACAAAAGGAGTTAAACTGAATTTTGTAGCATTGTTATTTTGACAGGACTTTCATAGATTTGCAGTATTGTAGAATATGCATGAATTCTCCTGTTGGAGAAAAGGAATGAAGTAATTTAATATAAAATAGATTACAGTATTTTCTTAAATTATGAAAGTAACTTAAGCAATTATCTATAATTGCACTGTGTCTTTTCTCTCCTTTCAAAAGATGCAAATCTGCATACAAACTATGGGATCGTGTTCTTGCCAAGCTCTTCTTAGAGCATCTGCACCTGACACGAGATCTCGTTTGTGCACTCATATCTGTGCTGACACTGCACAGAAGTTTGATAGTAGAATTTCCAAGAGTTTCAAGATTAGGACTATATAGTACCTGTGTAAGTTGAGATATTCTGAAATTGGTTTGTTGCCTGGGGCTGTGAGGAGAATAGTTAGTACTGTGGGTTGTTCTTAGCTATGGCGTGATACCTACTGTCAGAAAATGAGCACATAAATGTACTCAGCACTGCTCATGCCTCTCACTCCCCAAATCCATGTAAGTTGAGAGCCAGTAGGTATTAACTGGAAAAAATACTATTTTGGGAAGTTCACAACCCTCTTACTGTTGTTATAGTACTGTTATCTCTAGTCTTATCTGAGTGTTGCAGATGCTGATTTTTACCTGTTGACAGCAAATAACATCAGTGTAAATTTCATTTAGTCTTTCGGGCCAATGGTTGTCTTAGGAACTTGGTGAATCTCTGTTACATTGGCTCATTTAGCCATACTCTGCTTCTCTAGGTGTCCTTCTAATGTAAAATGTTTAGTTCTTGCAGAATGATAGTGTAGTGACCCTCTAGCAGAGTTCAGCATGAAGCCTGTGAAGCTGTTTGCTAGTACAATGTGTATTTTCAATGTTACTATGACAGTGTCACGAGCTCTTGGAAGGAGCAAGGTGAGGATTTTTAAGCTGATGCTGGTTTGCAGGCTTCTGTGCAGATGAGGAAAACAGTCAATCCGCTATGCACTGAGGGTTTTTTTTCTCATTAGTTGACATGGATGAGAAAATTGGATTTTAAAGGAGGTAATATACTGACAGGCATCATTGAGCCTAGCTAACACAAAATTTGTTTCCTCCTTTATGTCCTTTTCTGCTTCCCTAAGATAATGAACCACAGTGGGATTGGTCTGGGAAAGCAAACCTAAGATTCTCACGTGGATTTCCCACTTCACATACTCTCTGTTGTCTGAAGGAAAAAAAAAAAAACACACCACACCAAACAACACAACCAACTTGCTGCTTGAATGATAGGAACTCGAGACTTTTTACTATTGATGTAATGTGGTTAAATGGAAAGCTGCCCTCTTGAAAACTAAGCCTGTAATCCTTTTTTCTTTAATAAGTACAGCCTAGTAGAAACTATTCCTTATCTGTTTTAAGCTTTTGTGCTTTTTAGAAGCCATCTCTCTTCTTAGAAGTGGTTAAGTACAGATGGAGGTTGGGCAGGACAGTGTTGCAGCAGCTGCTGCTGCTCTGCCAAAATCAAGGCTCTCTCCCAGCACGCAGCAGCTGTTGGCAGTAGTGGCACTGGCTGTAGTCTTTTCTCCTTAGCTGACAGCTTTCCTCAGTCGTGTGTTACAGCAGGACACTGTCTCCCAGAGCCAGCCTCTTAGGCTTTCAGGAAACAGATCCAGCATGTGCAGGTGCATAGTCTGATTCCTGGCTTTGGTTGTTCTGTTCTGCTAGCCTTCCATCACTTTATTCAGTCTGAAATACTAGGACTGGATTGTCTAAGGTGAGACTTTGCAAAATAGCTATATCAGTTGAATAGCTTGCTGTGAGTGCCTTGCTCTTCATGGCAGATGATAGGGCTTTACCTCCCCACACTCAGTGATCATTCATTTATGTCAACTGATTGGACTTGATGAGCTTGTCAGGATTATTTGCCCTGTGGGCTAGCTCTTTACGGGTTAAGTTAGCACCTGTGTCAGCACAGGATATGCAGCACGAATCT